ATTATCAGTTGAAAACAGTTGTGCTGCTTCATATTTTTGCAGAGACAGCGATAAATTTTTTTTGATGAATAGAACGTTCAAAAGAACAGCATTTATTTGGAATAGAAATATTTTGCAACATTATAAATGTCTTTACTGTCACTTTTGATCAATTTAATGCATCCTTGCTGAATAAAAGTATTACTTTCTTTCAAAAAAAAAAAAAACTGACTCCAAGCTCAATTCACTTTTGAGAATTCGGTCTATGAGAAACAATTGAGATATTAAAAAAACTTAATTGATGAATATCTAAAATTCTCTATAAAATGCAATACCTTTAACCAATGCATTTTTAAACAATATGCAGTTTGGAATTTTTTAAATGGTCAATAAAGGCTTGGATTTTTCTTTTTCCAATGTAAGAATATACATTTAAACATATTTGTGTGTAGTGCATCACATCCTGTGCGTGATTTCCAGCATTACTCTACATCCGAGTCAGAAACAGAGCAGCTACTGTTAGTCTGCAGGCAGAGTTTCATGAATGGCGTGATGTGAATATCGCCAGCGACACATCAAAGGTGAGCATCTTTCACGTTCAGCAATGGGCTCCGACAAAAGAATGATCCTCAGCGGGTGAAATTACACTAGTCTTTATAGCACAGATCCAGTGTTCTTGGAAATGAATACTGCAGAAGTGATGCTGTCCTTAGGCAAGACATGATTTGGGAAACACTGGCCTTTATGCTGCTGAATGATGTCACACATTTGAAAAGACACCGCTGGCTGGGAAAAACACAAACAATGGGTCTGTGAGGGGCGTGACATCACTCGGATGACCATGATGCACGACTTCAACAGCTCATGTCACGAATGCATGAATGAATATGTTTCGGATTTTTAACCCAGTGCTGGGTTATATTTAACCCAGCATTTTTTAGAGTGTAGATGCAGATCATTATGTTAATGCAAGGCTGAAAGAAATCGTCTAATATCTTGAAAAGAAGAAAAAACATACTTGATGTACACTAACATTCTAACATTTAGGGTCAGAAAGATTCATTAATTTTTCAAGAAATTAATGCTTTATTAAGCAAGTGTGCGTTAAACTGATCAAAAGTGACAGTAAAGACATGTTCTATTTCAAATGAACTCTGTTCTTTTCAGCTTTCTGTTCATCAAAGAATCCTTTAAAAAAGTATCACGGTTTCCACAAAAATATTAAGCAGCACAACTGTTTTCAAAATTGATCATAATAAGAAATGTTTCTTGAGCAGCAAATCAGCATATTAGAATGATTTCTGAAGGATCATGTGACACTGAAGACTGGAGTAATGATGCTGAAAATTCAGCTTTGCATCACAGCAATAAATTACATTTTAAAATATCTTCAAATAGAAAACAGTTATTTGAAATTGTGAAAATATTTCACAATATTACTGATTTTACTGTATTTTTATCAAATACATGGAACGCTGGTGAGCAGAAGAGATTTCTTTCATTAAAATAACATTAAAAACGACCCCAAACTTTTAAAAGGTAGTGTGCATTGAAATAAAATGTTATTTAACATAATTCTGAATGCATTTATGAAAAGCAATTGTTAAGGGTCACATCAGGTAGAAACACATCCTAAAGTCAACACAAAATCAAAATTGAGTTTTGTTTTTAGTGTTTCATCAGTGCAGAATATTCCAGTGAAAACTTGGTTTGCTTTTTTAATCTTTTATTGAAATATGTAACTTTGCCTCTGAAACAACTTTATTTTTCAGCTGACAACACCAATAAATCTTATTTTTCAAAATTCAATCAATATTATTTATTTTTATTGCCATTTATTTATTTTTTATTTTTTTCACGGCTGTAACACCAAATGTAATTTTATTAGATTTAAACTGGTTGGACATAAATGTCTCTTAGTGGATCTTAGCATTATTTGTTCAACGCTAAAACAGTCGGATGTTGAAAACTACAACTTTGCTGGTGTCCTACACTGAGTATGGCAGATTGAATTGTATGTAAAAGTCCTGAGGAATTCAATCAGACTAATGATTATAGCGCAGTGGGGGTGTTTAACGCAGCGTCTGGTCTGTCCTTGTGAGAGATTCCAACAGATTTAGGAGCTTTTATGGGGATTCCAGTGTAAAGCTGTCCCACGTGTATCCTGATGCAGTTTGATAAAGCGGGAGTCTGCTGTCTGTCTGACTGGAACGGTGTTTGATGCTAATACTGGCTCATGCTAACTAAACCACATGCTGAAAAAGACAATTAGCAAAACTGATTAGCAAAAAAAAATAGCAAAAGTGATGTTTACTGAATATTTGTGCACTGGATTAAAGTATGTCACTTGTAAAAAAAAAATTGGACAGGTCTAAACTAACATGCATAGTATTTTTTTTTTATGCACTGGAGTACCATAGAATTACCATATTTTTGTTGTTGATCTTTTCAACAAATACTATGGTAAATTATATATTTTTTAACATGTACATTGGCAATACCGTGTTTTTTAACATGTACAGTAGTAATACCATGTTTTGTGTTGTTTTTTCTCAACATATACCAAATTATATTTTAAACATGTACACTGGTAATACCATGTTTTTTTTTAAATATACAGTGGTAATGCCATGTTTTTTTTTACGTATACAGTGGCAATGGCATGCTTTTAACGTGTACAGTGGTAATACCATGTTTTTTGTTGTTTTTTCTGAACATATACTTAATTATATTTTAAACATGTACAGTGGCAATACCGTGTTTTTTAACATGTATAGTGGTAATACCATGTTTTTAACGTGTACAGTGGCAATGGCATGTTTTTAACGTACAGTGGTAATACCATGTTTTTTGTTGTTTTTTTCTCAACATATACTAAATTATATTTTAAACATGTACACTGGTAATACCATGTTTTTTTAAATATACAGTGGTAATACCATGTTTTTAATGTGTACAGTGGCAATGGCATGTTTTTAACATGTACAGTGGTAATACCATGTTTTTTTAACGTGTACAGTGGGAATACCATGTTTTTTGTTGTTTTTTTCTCAACATATACCAACTTATATTTTAAACATGTACAGTGGCAATACCGTGTTTTTTAACATGTACAGTGGTAATACCATGTTTTTTGTTGTTTTTTTCTCAACATATACTAAATTATGTTTAACATGTGGTAATACTAATGGTTTTTATTGTTGTTATTGTTTTTCCAACATATGCTAAGGTAAATCACATTTTTAACATGTACAGTGTTAATATACCATGTTTTTAATGTGTACAGTGGCAATGGCATGTTTTTAACATGTACAGTGGTAATACCATGTTTTTTTAACGTGTACAGTGGGAATACCATGTTTTTTGTTGTTTTTTCTCAACATATACTAAATTATATTTTTAACATGAACAGTGGTAAAAAAAACATGTTTTTTAAAATATACATTTCTCAACATATACTAAATTATGTTTAACATGTGGTAATACTAATGGTTTTTGTTGTTGTTGTTGTTTTTCCAACATATGCTAAGGTAAATCACATTTTTAACATGTACAGTGTTAATACCGTGTTTTTTGTTGGTTTTTCCCAGTATATACTATGATAAATCATAGTGGTAATACCATGTTTTTTGTTGTTGTTTTTTTCAACATATACTAAGGTAATTCACATTTTTTAACATGTACAGTAATACCATGTTTTTTATTGTTTTTTCCCAAACATTTACTAAGGTATAACTTTTTTTTTTTTACATGTACAGTGTTTTTTGGACACTGTAAGTACTTATTTTGCTTATTTGTGTATAGTCTGATTCCTTTATATGCAAGGAAAGACTAAATATCAGCTATGACAGAATGATTTATTTGTTGTGTTTGAACCATAGTCCACTATCATGTCTTCAAACATCCTCTTTGTAGTTGTCGCAGGAAGCAGTCAGGATGCTTCAGGCATGAGCCGGACGTACGGGAGACCACCACCAGTACGGCTCGAGATCGCTGCCATGTGTGCCACAGATGGCTTCACAACTCCACCAACACAATAAAGTGAACGCAAACGCCTCGTTATCAGTGACAGCTAGGCATGATGCAATGCTTTGCGCAATGCTGTTTTCCTCGGTCTCAAAAACTACAACTGTTTATTTTGCTTTTATAGGCACCAGACATAATGCCAGCACAAAAAAAACCAGTTGATTTTGGCAGAGCGCTGTGGAAAATGTACGTCTGCGCAAACAACTGCAAGTCAACGACGCAGCATTTAGTAACATGCAGCAGAGCATGATGTGCTCGGGAAAACAAGGCAGCATGCAAAGAAAAACCAGCCAATAGGCCCAGTTTAAACTAGACCTCCTGGTGCGCTGCTCGACATCTGCTGAGGTTTTTCTCCATTTCAGTCGCTCTCGCAGGTGTTTGGCTTGTATGGAGGTGGGATTACAAACACATTTACTGTAATGGCTTGGCTTGTTCTCCGAGCTCTCTTTTGTGGTTAGTTAAGTGTGGCCTCACTGGCGTGGAACTTCAAAGCGAGGCTCCATGTAGAAATTAGTGCTATTTTTTAAATTTGAGTAATGTTTCTTAGGCAACTAGCTGAAATAGATTACGTTTCAGTTAACGTTTATATTGTATTTCAAGTAGCAACATTTTTTTTATTTTAATTAATTATTATAACACTGATATGATGGATACTATTGTTTTTTTTTGTTTGGTTTTTTTTTGGTATCTGCTCCAAATTATCCTTAAAAAAGTGGTTTTGTAAAGAAATTTCACAATTTATAGCATTTCCTCCCATCAACATTTAGATTAAAATGGTTTCAGTCCACTTTTGACTAGCAGTGCATCTTTACCGTGGAGTTACCTGTGGGACTCTGGTTAATGTGTTTGTGTGTGGTACAAACATATGGCAGACGGACATGCGTGTACGTCAGACTTGTATTTGTGTTTCACGTGAGCATGTTGGTGGTTCGGGTCTGAATGAATGTGCGTGTGTGTGTGTGTGTGTGTGTGTGTGTGTGTGTGTGGGAGCTTCA